GGCCGCGACAATACCCCTCAAAGACGGAAAGAAGAGGCCACTGAGAGGTGTAAGTGCGTAAATAATGATGTCACTGAAATAAAAGACAACTTTTACCTCATGGTTTTGGGTGGTTCGCCTTTTTTCCTGCGTACTCACAGGTGTACAGCGACGCCGGGCGCTGCCCGTCCTGCCAGGTGACTGCCCGGCCAGCTTCGCGGGAACGATGGGGCCTGGCACAGAGGTGGGGGGGAATCTGACGGTCACCAAAAATCAGATGTTTTGGCACCTCTGCGTACCAGCAGGGCTTGTCACGAATAGAGTGAAAAGCCTCGGTGCTGCAGGCAAAAGGCAGAAGTGCTGATTTTTTCTACCAAGCCCCTTGGTGGTAATCTTTAAATAATAGAAAAGAAGGTTTGTTGTTAAAAAATCCACTTCCAGCTAGCTTCTAGATGCTGTTACTATTTTCTCTATGCTATGAATGGGGTATATATAAAAAATAATAATCATAGGTTGTAAGAACTGAAAGCTTTTAGCCAGAAGATTACATTAAAGAAACCCCAACAACACAAACCCAACCAAGTCTTCAGGAGAGCTTTACGTAAGACCACACAGGGCCAAGAACAAAGCAGGCCTTTGCCAAAAAGAGGAACAGACAAAAGTGGCTGAAAATACATTTTGACCACAAATCAAATTTACCCGTACAAAAGGTTGCATGCAATCTTTAATAATTTCTGCAGGCTGGATCTATTTTTGGAGCAAGTCAGAGACAAGAACTGAGTAAAAAAAAAAAAATCAGTGTGTAATTGCCACAAGAATGGCACAGTCTTGGCAGCGGATACTTCATGCAGTCCAACTTCTGGATTTGCACTGACACCATATCTTAATTCAAAATCAGGTCACCTCTCTTTTTAGAAATGCTTATGCTCCTCGACAAGGTTTTGATACGCTATGAACTTTTACATGTGATTTAATGAAAAACATCACATTAGTTTTTTGGGTTTTTTTCCCAGCGATAGCTTGCAATTTTAGTCAAAGCAACTGAAAAGATAGAGAAAAGCCTTGCGTTGAAACAAGCAATGGCACATTTCCCACATTTCTCATGGAAGAAATATCAGTTCTCGTTTTTTAAAAACTTCTATGTCACCTAAATTCTGTCAGTTTGGAGGGTCACCCTAAAGTATCAGATTATACACAGATTTCTTTTTGTAATAATCT